GACATTTAACAATTATTGAGTCTTGTAATTTGTGAATACAATTGATCTTTTCACTGATTTGTTAAGAGGAAGAGAAAGAAGAAGAAGGACAAGAAAAGGATCAACATTTACAGGCACATAAAATATGTCAGGCACATTAATGTTGTTTTATGTGCATATTAATCCAAATTCACCATTCCTTTTATTAGACAGATTATTCATAAAAGGAAATTGGGGGCAGAGAGTGTAAGTAACCTTTACAGGCCCATCTCTACCTGGATAGGAAGGAATTTGGATCCGCATCTGTCTGACCCCAAAGCCTGTTCTACTCATCAGTCTACTCAGATATAACACGGGTTAAGTGAGGGCAATCGCCTGTTTTTGCGAACCTCTCCTACAGCTCAGACTGTTCCTGAACAGTCAAGCATTTCAAACTCCACCATCACCGAGACCTCTATGCTACAGTAAAGAGACAATGTGAAATTGTGTGGAGGCCTATGGGCATCAGAGATTAAATTATATTTTCCAAATTACACTTGAGAATTGAATGTGCCAGTTATATCCTCTGGGTCTCTACCTTGTTCCCAGCACTTGAGGCCCAGGTTAATAAACAGCATAAAACGCTCCTATCCCATTAAAAAATATTTCCATTTCAAATGATTCGTGAAAACTGGTTTAGGACTTGAAAAAGGTTTTGTAAAAGGTCTGACAGCCGTTGATACAATTCCAGTAATACACTTTCCAGAGAAAGTCAGTAGAATGTACCTGTACCTGTGGCCTAACAATTTAAAATAAAAAATAAGTGAAAACCAATCCAAACTGATTACAGTTAAAATTGACCAAAGTTCCTGATCCACTCTTGTAGGGAGTAAACTAGGTTTAAATTTTAAAAAGAACTCATGGAGAAAAAGTTTATAGCTGAAAGTTTTCCTCGGGTATTGGCATTCTCGTTTCCTCCCCTAGAATTTACCAGCGCGGGCTAAAGGACAGGTCGGGCGGTGGGATGCGGGCTAGAGGCGTCTAGGGGGCATCCCACTCCTGTCATAGGCCTCGTCTGCAACCAGAAGGCCGAGGGAGGACGCAGGTGCAAGCTTCAGTCTCACTCTCCATGATGTCACCTTGTGTGCAAAGACAGAAGGAAGGCGGCAGACAGGATTGAGGACTCGCCTGGCGGTAGGCGCTGTGCGTCCTTTACCGCACTGAAACCCGGCAGCCACCCGAGAGGAGCTGACCAGGAGAGGGTGGTCCCTGGACGGTCTGCTGCCCCGGTCCCGCGCGCTGGCACCTCGCCAGCCACAGCGAAGGGAGAAAACCCGAGTAGGGTGTGCGGGTTGTTGACGGTGAGAGGGGCGTGATGGAGTAGGGGCGGGGGCAGATCATTGGACGCACTCCTGCATCCCACCGCCCCACCTGTCCTCCGGAAAGGCGGCGCCAGAGAGGGCGTGGAAGGGAACCCGAGCTAGACGGTCTGGGGTCACGAGTTGAGGCGGCCGGGAGGTAGGATGCCCGGGGCCGCACTTCGGACTCCGGGCGGAGCGGAGTCTCAGCAGGGCTGCCGCCGCTCCGACGTTCGCCAGGGCGCCCTCTCCCTGCGTCCTCTGCGCGCCC